ACACACACACACACACACACACTCACTCACATACTCACGCACTCACACAGACACTCGCACACTCACGCACACAGACACACACACACACAGTCTGGTCAGCTATCCTTACACACACACACTCGCACACAGACACACTCACACACACTCACGCACACACACAGACACAATCACACACACACGCGCGCGCGCACACATGAGTTTATTCAACTCCAACTCCTCCCATCCACACACACACACACCTGTGGATGTGTCTTATGATTTACACTCAACAAAATACGTCAGAATAGTGGCTATTGGATGCCGATTTACCACAATTTCCTACATGGGATCTATTTATCATGAGGTTTTCTAAAAACTAATTATATATTAGTCCTCTCAAACGATTAATCGTGATTAATTGCATACAAAATAAAAGTTTTTGTTTATATAATATATGTGTGTGTGTGCTGTGTATATTTATTATGTATATACACACATGCATGTGTATATTTAAGAAAAATATTTTATGTTTATATAGCCTATAATATATATATATATATAGTGCTGTCAAACGATTCATCGCGATTAATCGCATCCAAAATAAAATTCATATAATTTATATTATATATAAATATATATTATATAAACAAAACATCTTTTTCTTAAATATATACATGCATATATTATGTGAACAAAAACTTTTATTTTAGATGCGATTAGGGCTGCCCTCGACTAAGGATTTTTCTGGTCGACTAGTGGTTGTTAATTTTAAGCATTAGTCGACTAATCGCACATTTATTAATAAACCATTTAAATCATTATTATGAGCCTTTAATTGCCTATGTAGTCTAATATGCACTCAAGCGCATGAATCGGCAGAAGTAATGGTTATGAATGTGTCAGGGAAAAACAGTAAGGAGACTGCATTAACATTGTCTGTGAGTGGCAAAAGTATGTGAATCTCTAGAATTGGCTGTTAATTTGAAGGTGAAATTAGAGAGTTGTTTTCAATCAGTGAGATGACTATCAGGTGTCAGTGCGTGCCCTGTTTTATCTAAAGAACAGGGATCTATCAAAGTCTGATCATGTTTGTGGAAGTGTATCATGGCTGTATCTGGTCCAGGACGGCTTGCCATCATTGATGGAACAATGAATTCTGAATTATACCAGCAAATTCTGAAGGAAAATGTCAGGACATCTGTCCGAGAACTGAATCTCAAGAGAAAGTGGGCCATGCAGCAAGACAACGACCCCAAGCACACAAGTCATTCTACCAAAGAATGGCTAAAGAAGAACAAAGTTAATGTTTTGGAATGACTGAGTCAAATTCCGGACCTTAATCCAACTGAAATTTTGTGGAAGGACCTGAAGCAAGCAGCTCATAGGAGGAAACCCACCAACATCACAGAGCTGAAGTGGTTCTGTACTGAGGAATGGGCTAAAATTCCTATTTGAATTGGTTCATTTGAAAGTAGACATTTCACTCTCTATAGATGCATTTTTAATGTCTGTAAGGTAAAGATATACACAGAGTTTCGCACTCAAATTCACAGAGTCATATTTGCTTTCATTATTTCACAAAAGCACAATTTGTTTTTATTGTGAGTGCACACAAATAAACGTAGAGTCTTTACAGATTTGAAAGATTTATTACTCTTTTCTGTATGACCAAAAATGACCAGTATTTTAGGAGCAAGTGAGCGCACTGGCGCCTCCATCTGTCCTGAGGTAAGCGCTACTGTTCAACTCCACACTCCGCACAGACACAAGAGCACACATTTCTCTAGGTTAACATGGCCTGTGGAATTTTTGTACATTTTTATTTCTTCTGCGACTAAGCGACTAATAAAATTTTGGTCGACTAATGATTAGTTGACTATTAGGGGGCAGCCCTTAGATGCGATTAATCACGATTAATTGTTTGACAGCACTAATATATATATATATATATATATATAAATATATTATATTAATATAAATATATACATGTAAATACATGTAAATATTTTCAAAATATATACTGGTTGTGTGTGTATTTATATATACATTAAAAATATAGGCTACACAGTACACACACATATATTATGTAAACAAAAACTTTTATTTTGGATGCGATTAATTGTGATTATTTGTTTGACAGCACTATATGCATTATGCATTTATTTTATTCTCAGTTTATTCCTTTTATCTATTATTTGTCATGATTAGATGTTATAATTAAGAACGACTAATATTATCAGATATTATTAATCGTGTTTGTACAGTGTGCCTCCATTAAGTAGCATTAATAGAGCTTTAAACTCTTAGCTGTCAGGATTATGGACCTGTTTTGTTGTGTTTTCCCGCCCCATGTGCTCAGTGACCCAGTTTCTCCTCTGTTTGGTTGTGTTCATGTGATTCAGGTGTGTCGTGTTAATTGTCCTCATTACCCCATGTATTTTGAGTCCCAGTCTGTGCATTCTGTCTTGGTCGGGTCTACATTGTGATGTACGTGTGTCTTCTCCCATTCCTGGTTTGGATTATCCCTTGTGTGGACTCATTAAAGACTGTTTATTCTAATCTACATCTCCGTTGTTCACTCCAACACAGTGCGTGACATTAGCGTTCCAACGTTCCACCTGCGGGACGTTTTGCATTGAGTTAAATTTGACAGGAATGCTAAGGGGTTTTAATCATATTTATTACCTTACATATGGAAATGATTGCATGCAGACAGTGCACCCTATTATATTAGTTTGAAAAATGAAAATGGCTATATAGACTATGGGACAAAAAAACTCTTTCAAACTATTTTCTGTATATCAAAATAAAATAGCTTTACCTGAAAATGCGTGTTATATGAGGTTTCATATAAACTGAAGCCAAGGGAATTTATGCAAGACTTTCTTTTGCTCTGAGGATAGCATTAGCCTAAATTTTATTTAGACAAGACATTAGAGGACAGTATAACTGTATTTAATAAAGTACACCTCTATTGTTGTCAACCCTTGTTAAACTGCTAAATATTTCAGTTCTGCCAGACAAATAACAAGATGTGTTGTGGAGCTCCAAGCTGTTATCACATTTAGATGAATTAATGAATTAAACTAAATATCACTGAAACAAAACAGCTAAGAATTAAACAACTAACAAAACGAAGAAACTGCAGCTGATGGCAGGTTTGGCCTGTGTGCGTGTGTGTGTGTGTGTGTGTAGAGAGGGATGTAATCAGTCGCGCAGCCACCCGGCTCTTGGGCCGGTGACAAATCGAAAGTGTCTCGCTGTAGTTTATTGCCCTGATCAGGTCAAACGAAAAATATTGGAGGTCTGGGCGAAGAGACAGTTCCGTCTGCCGCAGATAAATGGACTGATCATTTCTTATTGAGAAACAATTCCTAAAAGGTAGTTTACAGCATGACTGAGGGAAGCAGGCGGTGCAGAGCTCCTACCCTGACCCTTCCCTCCGCCGCTGAATTAAATGGATAGAGAGAGGGCGAGTTTCTGATGGCACAACTCCACCGCAGAGACACTCCATTTATTATGGAGCAGGGGCCTCTGATGAAGTGTAGGCAGAGGGTTCTTCTTCTTTATTTATTTATTTTCTCGCTCTTTCTCTCTCAGGTGAAGTACAAGGCTGGCCTTCAGGCTTCTACACTCCAAATGGATAGAGGGAGGCAATTGAATTTTACACTCCCCTGGTTATGATTAATGCCCATCTGTGATGGCTGTAGAGGCGGGAAACCGCCGCAAGGTGGCGCTGGTAATCCACACGCATCTCTGCTTCCCAGTTCGCATTTCGTGCCCTGAAAGTATATACTTCGCTGATAATGGGAATGTAGGTACTGTTGAGTAAGACTGTACACCAGGATTTCTACATAAAATCATGATGTAACTAGCTAGCTAAATCCATTACCTCAAAATTCACTGATTACTTAAGGTTTGTACATTGCGCTGTAGTTAGGTACAGTTCTTCTGAAAAAGTTAAGAGAAACAACTCCACAAACAACTCTTTCGCTGTTCAAGGGGTTTCCTCGTCAGGTAAAGTGCACTTCATGGCCAAAAGTAAAAGATGTGTCTGCAATTGAACACCATGCATGAAACCACTGGCATTAATGGCTAGCTAACATCTTCTACTCTTCTGTGAAGGCCTTATAGTAGAGTCGTGGATGCAACCATTTTGCCTCAAAGGCCCTCCCATTCTCATAATATTTAAAGACCCCCATGAAGTCTAAATATATATGGTATTTCTGCTGATGAAGCTGCTTATTTCCAGTTTTTTTTAAACATAAAAT